CAATGCGTGTTAGGATCCAGTGCCAAAGTCCTCAAGTCCCCTGCTTGGGCACGTTCTAACATGGTTCCAAGGTGATTACCTTGAATGTATTTCAGTGGAGGTGGGGACATTGGTAAGAGAGACAACAAAATAACACATTAACAGTTTGGTTTTGGGCAAGTTATCAAATAGAAGTTACAGTTTCTTCCTTCACAAAACAGAGATAATGTCATCTACTACACAGGCTTTGCTAAGATCAAGTGAGAATACACATAACATGCTTAGCACAGTGTTTGGCTCATACTCAACACCTACATGGTAACTTTTTCTACATAGGTGAAGACAAACAGGCTAACACTTGTGTTATAATAGGAGTTTTGGCTTTGTTTACATAGCTTTATATCTTAGAGCATTAATTGGTTTATGGAATCTCTTCAAAGGAAGCTTTCCTGTGTCCAGTGGAAAGTAGCCTCTCTGTCACATGACTAAGTTTTGTTTTCATCTTATTGTCTCCTCTCACTGGAATATAACTTCATGAGGGCAGGAAGCTTGCCTGCAGTATTGATTGCTGTTGCACCGATGGTAAGGACCATGCCTGGAACAGGTGTTCATTCAACAAGTGTATGTTTGTTGAATGAATAAAGGTTCCACTCAATCTCTAAGTCTTAGCTCCAGCGTCAGACTCTCCACTCCTGGATGAAAGAATCACTCTTTACTCTCAGCTTCCAAAGTACCCTAGTAGTAATCCAGTCATGACAGCTGTCACACGCATCCTAGAGTCCATTTACTTCTGTATTTTCCCCACTAGGCTCTGAGCCAGGTTAAAGGCATCAACCACATGTCTCGCACAGTGCCTGGCATATGAGAGACCTTCAGTAATTGTTGAACAGCTGGAATTGATTAGTCCCTAGTTTTCTGTAGGATAAGTTTTCACAAGGACTATGATGAAGTAACCACAGTGGCCACTTGACCTGAGTCTTAATCCTGAGGGCTCATGAGATTTTGTCTGCCTTTCAGGGATATGGGTGAGAGGATGGTGAGGCGTGATCACGAGCAGGAACTTCATAAATCTTTATTTTTTACTTTCCATTGATTTGGTTTCATCACTTTTTAGCATTTCTCATCGACCTTTGCTTTAGATGAATATACAAGCTGATCTGATACCCCGCAGAACAATTGCGAATAAATATTTCTTTTCAAAGAGAACCCCAGTATAGACCAAATGCCCTGAGATCCTGGTCAAGGTCTGTCCCTGTACCTTCTCATTTTTTCCCTTCCCAGCTTTTGGCCCGCCACAGTTAGTTCCTCGCCATCCCCCATCCAGAGATGCAACAGTCTCTGTCGCCGTCACCTCTCCGCTTCAGTATAGTTTCTGTAACACACTGAAGTTCTTCACACTCAACCCTAGTCTTGTTACTTCTCTGCTCAGAAACCATCCATATTTCCCAATTATCTACAGAATCATTCTTTTATAACCCCATGAGCTTATTCCAACCTACTTTTCCAAAAAGCTGGTTTCTATGTACTTTTCAAGAACCCTGTGTGAACTGTATATGCCTTAAAATATCTTACTTCTAGATTTCTGTTTCTACCTCCTCCCCTCCCTAAAATGCCCCCCATTTCCATGTAACCAAAGCTAATCCACTCTTCAAGTTTCAGCTCAAATACTACCTCCTCTAAGAAAGTTTTCCTGCTCATCTCGTCTGTCTTTGAAATCGTATAACACTGTTCCTTCTGGAATTTGTACTTTACTCTTGTTTTATTTATTTATTTGGACTTCCGCGAAAAAAATTTCAAGTTCATTATTGGAATCTCCTTAGGATTTTCCTAAGCCTAGTACAGTGTTAATTGTAGCAATTAACAGCACTTTTATAAATTTTTTTAAATTACAAAAGTAATACATGCATATGTAAAACATGTCAACATGCAAAGTTGTTATCAAATGAATAGAATAAATCCAACACCCTTCTCCCAGCTCTCTGTTGTAAAATTGCCCAGCTGTAACTGCTATTATAAGTTTTTTATATATCTTCTAGAAATTTCATATGACTATGCAAGTATATAGACATAAGTTGTTTTTTTTTTACACAAATGGTATCATAGGTTACCCATTGTCTTTTTCAACAACAGTAGATTTTGAAGGCTTTTTCATACTATGTATGAATTTATACAACCTGATTAATATCTGGATAGTATAATACTATCCTTTCAAGGACATTTAGACTACTTCTAATTTGCACATATTTGTGCAGTCATAACTATAAGATAAATTTTTATTAGTGAGATTTCGGGGTCAAAAATTATATGCATGCATTTTAAGCTTTGACTACATGACCAAAGAGGCTGCATCAGTGTGTGCATGTGTCTGCTCCCCAGCACCCAAGTTATCTTTGTGTATTTTCATAGTTTTAATTCTTGCCCAATGAATAGACAAAATGGCATCTTATTATTCTTTTAATTTGTATTCCTTTAATTATGAGTGAGATGACTTTCTCATCTTTCTGTTTTATTTTTTTTCTCAACCTAGATATCCTATCTACTTCTCTTGTACTTTACCCATTTTTCTGTTAATTTTTAATGAGGTTTATTTTTTTCTGTCAGTTTCTCAATAGTCTTATTTAAACTTGATAGTAAAAGAAATCAGTCTATATGTGTGCCTTTTGTGAGTATATCTTTTTTGGGGAAAAAAATGTTTTACCTTCTTATATAGAATTAGGGGAAAAAAATCAGTAAAAAGACAAACGACTCAAACTAGAAATGAATAAAAGGATATAAATGTGCAATTCCCCAAAGAGGAACTTTTAATTGCTAAACAGTATATGAAAATGGCAAGAGAATAAAAGGATATAAATGTGCAATTCCCCAAAGAGGAACTTTTAATTGCTAAACAGTATATGAAAATGGCAAGAGAATGTGTTTGTATATTTTTAGACATTGATAGTTTCTTTTCTGTGTCCAAACAAGACACACGCACTGACTGATTTTATTTAATAAAACTTTAAATAAGCTACTAACAAGTAGAAGGCAGTTACACATTAAGGAGAAAATACACTATGATTAAGTATGGTCCAATCCAAGAAATCAAGGATGGTTTTATATCGGGAAGAGTATAAGTTTAATTATATATTAATAGGTCAAAAGGTTACAAACTGACGTAGCCAGATTCTTTGCTAAAACTGGATTTCACAAGAAACTACACAGATGGGTCTAAGGGAAGGTTCAGAAGACAGACTAAAGTTTGGCCTAGCAAAGAATCCTTGTCACTGTATGAATGAGTTTCTGTGCCTCTTAGAATTAGAGAGCTATAAAAACAAATGTGATTGTCATCACTAACAGAATACGCAGGGATATATTTTTTCTTTAAGCAGTGCTGTGAATATAATTCTGAGAAAGGTAACCTATATCCCCAGTACCATTTAAAGAAAGAAATATATCCCTATGTATTTTATCAGTAACAACCATCAACCAGTCAGGCTTTTGAATCTTCTCCTAGGCCCATCTATGCCCTTCTTTGTAAAATTCGGTTTTAGTGAAAAACCCTATGGAGTCAGTTTGGCAAGAACCTCTCAACGTAGATATCTGATCACCCTCGATATCGGATCAGGTTCCTCACCCTCCACCACCCCACAGGTGATGTCTGATCATTCTGGTCTGTCTTCAGCTAGAATCCTATTAGGCTCATTTAGCCAGAATCCCCCTTATCCTTGATGTTTCCTCTTAGTAATTTTCTATCCCTACTCTGCTCCTTGGCTATAAATTCCAACTTGCCCATGCTGTATTCGGAGTTGAGCCTAATCCCTCTTCTGCACAGTAAGAACTCACTGAAGTAATCCATATACCTATTGTGATGATCCTGAATAGTCTTCCTAACCAAGCTTTCACAAGTGTTGTTGAATTTTTTAAAATAAGAAACACTTGGGTTTTAATTCTGTTACAAATAGAATAAAAGGTTCCGTGGTTTCTACTTTGCAAAGAGAAAAATACACAAAGATAGGAGGTTTCCAGTGACTTCTGTTCAGGCTTTCTTTCTTTCTTTTTTTTTTTTTTTTTTTGAGTTGGAGTCTCACTGTCGCCCAGACTGGAGTGCAGTGGCCGCTCCCGGCCACCGCAGCCTCGACCTGCTGGGCTCCGGTGATCCTTCCGCCTCAGCCTTCCAAGTAACTGGAACTACAGGCATGCGCTACCACGCCCGGCTAATTTTTTTGATTTATTGTAGAGATGAGGTCTCGTCAAGTTGCCCAGGCGGGTCTCGAACCCGCGGGCTCAGGCAATCCACTCACCTCAGCCTCCCAAAGGCATGGAATTACAGGCTGAGCCACCGAGCCCGGCTCAGGTTTACTTTCTAAACTGGACATAAATGAGCTTCTTCAGCAGTGAATCTTTGATACTATGACCCGAGAGTTCATATTTAACTCAGACTCTGGAGATGCCAAATGAGTTTAACACACATAAGTCATTTGAGAACCCCAGGTCTCTGTTTCCTTACCTATAAAATGGCGACTGCTTAGACGTGCCTTGATAGACCAAAGAAGGATGAAAGGAAGCAATGTATGCTGCAGTCCTTCACAAATCTAACAAAATGTTAGTTTTATTAGTAGTAGTATTTTAAGTATTGCAAGTGGATGCAGCAGAATAGTCTTCCAAATTAACGTTTCAGAAAGGACCCCTAGTCTTTTCTATATCAAATAAATAGACCTCTGGAAGAGAGGACCTTTCGGACATTCGAACCTTCTCTCCATCCCCCTCACCTCCTGTCTCCTGCAACCCTTCCCTTCCCTCCATCCCGCGTCCCTGCTGCTGCTACAAAGTCTGCTGCTGTGGCCTTTACACCAGGGAGAGCCGGGCAATGGAGGAGCATGGACAAGCACGTTCCTTCCATCCTCTCCTGGCAGTGTCCACGATTTCTCACTCTTCTCATTGGGGCTGCAAGTCTCCGTGAAATACTGAGGAATATGAATTCCCTTACTATGTGGCTGTCACTGCTACATTCAACGCAAGGTTCCACACATATAGCTACTCACGAGACACAGAGGCACAGGACTCCTGGCATAGACTCGCTGTCTCTTAACAGAAAGTTGCCATCCACTCCTTCCTTGAGCAGCAAGGTCTCACAGTCTTGCTTGGTCAGAGGGCCATGGTAACAGGGCAGATCCATGAGAGTCCCCTTAACCCAGGTTGTCCTGGTAGCCTGATATCCAGCTTCAAGTCAAGGGACGCCTCTGAGGAGGCAAGTGGAGGCTGCTGTGCCTCCTGTGGAAATACTTCTTCCTCCAGTGGCTGGTGGGAAGGAGAAGAAGCTGGTCTGTGGGACTCAGGCCGCTTCAAAGATTCAGGAAATGAGAAGGGTGGGGTGATTAAATGACCAAGACTTTTCACCCTACGAGTGGCTCAAGTGTGACTCTCATTTGAATGCTTCTGGTTGGAGCAGCAGTGCTGAAGTCAGACTCCCCGGAGCTGTGTTGCTTGGATATTGCTGCATAGTGCTGGGTTTTTTTTTACCTTCCCTGGCTACTGGCATCTTTTCCAGGGAGCACACTGTTGGTTTTGCTGTAAGAATTGATATGTTCAGACACAATGAGAAAAATGAAAGGGTGGGACTTCCATGGATCAATAACATAAAAAAGGAAGATATCAGTGGGAATGGAAAGCAATGAGACACCAGGGAGGGGGACAGCCCATCCCATGGCTAATGCTTATAGCTGCTGTTAAACAGAGGTCGTTTTTAACACCCTCAAGCAATGCACTGTTTGGGGAAGGAGCTGCTACTGGCGAGAGGGATATTTGGGGATGCTTCTCCAGGAGGAAGAAAAAAGTATATTTGAACTGGTTTTGGAGACCCTCAAGTCCATTGACGATCCTGTGCTGAGACAGCAGTGATGTGTCCCCATGAAGGAAGACCAAGGAAAGACCATCCAACCAGAGGCATTTAACCTCCCTTCGGACCACCTACTGCTGAGAAAATCTCTTACTTTTTCTGTGGAGTGGAGTCTTTCCCACCTCAATCAACTGATCATCTTGGGAAAGATAGGCAATCATGTGACTTCTGCTATCTGAGAGTCAGAATTAGAACTAAGAATAATTTCTAAGGCTTTTTTGAGCAACCAACCTACCTATTATTAATTAATTACAGCAACCAACCTACATATTATTAATTAATTACAGGTAGAATAAGCCATGCAAGCACACCTATATCCAATATTTTAAGTAGAATTCATTTACTTAACTGTCACAATTACCATCACACAAATGTTAATTGTTGTAAACTGCATGTTAATTTATCTCCCTATTCAGCCATCTCACTCGAATATCTATGGGAAATCACTGTATATCCCAAGTACACATCTACAAAAATAGACCTATGTGCTCTTGACTCATCTTTGCTTCTAGTAACTTCTTAGCCCATATGTTTATTTCATCTTGCTGCTTTGCTTGCCAGCTGTCTACCCACACTTAGGTGTCACAGGTCTTTGTTTTTCCTTGGAAGTCCCCCAGCTGTGCTGCTTAGTGCAATGGAGTTAAATTGATCAAGGAACTTGTTATCAGAGAGATATGCTTTCCAATCCCAATTTCTCTTGTGTGCCTTTGACTATTAATTATTCTATTCTATGGGAGTTATGGCAGTTGAGGAGACAATTACTAGTGATCAAAGAAGAAATTGGGAACCGGTGTCGGTGTGAAGATGCTTTTTGGCATAAGAGAAGACATAACTGAATGCAGACTCAGGCCACTGGTCATCACAGGGGCTTGCCTTCCCCCCCCACCCCCATTTCAAAACTCTCTTGTCCTCACTCATAATAAGATACATGAAAAATCAATCTGTGCTGAGATCATATCTCTCACCCAAACTGAAAGTTTGAAGACATGCAGGGTTGGCCATGACAGAATAAAATAGAATATCTCATACATTACTGGTTGTGCACAAAATGGTTACAACTATAATGGAGGTTGGTGTGGTAATATCCATCAAAGTTATATATGCATTTGCTCTCTGACAGAACAGTCTCAATCCTAGAAATCTGTCGCAAAACTGCACAGACAGAAATATGACTTACACGTAAGATAATATTTTTAATAAAAAAAGATCACCAAAAAACCCAAAGGCTTGTGAATGGAGGGATAAGTGACTAAAGTGTGATACATCTAAATAATGAAATATTGCTGTAGAGTGATGAGATGAGGAATATCTCTATATGCTGATATGCAATAATTTTCAGGATACATTTTTAAGGTGAAAAATATAAGGTGCATAATAGTATATAGATTATGGGGAATATAAATAAATATATACGTTGCATATTTGCTGGTCTTTGCAAAAACAAACAAAACAAAACCTACTGGAATAACAAAGCTAAAAGTAATTAAAAACAAAAAATTCTACTTATAAGGAGAGGGAAGAAACATGCATAGAGGTGAGACTTCTCCAAGAAAACATTGCTATGTAGTTTTGAATGTAAAATCACATAATTGTTTGGCTTGGTGGCTCATGGTTAGTATCCCAGCTCTTTGGGAGGCCAAGGAGAAAGGACCACTTGAGCCCGGGCGGTCCAGGCTGCAACAAGCTATGATTGTGCCCTCCAGCCTGGGTGACAAAGTGAGATCCTGTCTCTTTAAAAAATAAAATAAAATAAATAAATGAAGTGAACAACATAAAAAAATAAGATAACATATCTAACTGTAAATCTCTTTGGTGATATAATCAACTGATTTTATTTATTTTATTTTATTTTATTTTTTGAGTTGGATTCTCATGCTGTCACCCAGACTGGAGTGCAATGGCCGCTCCCGGCCACCACAGCCTCGACCTGCTGGGGCTCTGGCGATCCTTCCACCTCAACCTTCCAAGTAGTCAATTGATTTTAGAATATAGCACTTGAGTGAACAGTCTTATTTGAATATCTTGTACATTAAATAGACCAGTAAATAAATTTAGTAATTTGGTGTATCTAACTCAAATATATTTAACATATATTGTAAAAAAAAAAGATAAAATTCATTCTGTTCTTAACATACTAAGAACTAGCCGGGCTCAGTGGCTCAGCCTGTAATCCCGCGCTTTGGGAGGCTGAGGTGAGTGGATTGCCTGAGCCTGTGAGTTCGAGACCCTCCTGGGCAACTTGGCGAGACCTCATCTCTACAATAAATCAAAAAAATTAGCTGGGTGTGGTAGCACGCACCTGTAGTTCCAGCTACTTGGAAGGCTGAGGGGGAAGGATCGCCGGAGCCCAGCAGGTCAAGGATACAGTGGCCGGGAGCGTCCACTGCACTCCAGTCTGGGCGACAGAGTGAGACTGTAACTCAAAAACCAAAAAAAAACAAAAACAAAAACAAAAAACAACCAAACAAAAGCCAGACTCGGTGGCTCAGCCTGTAATCCTGCGCCTTTGGGAGACAGGTGAGTGGATTTCCTGAGCCCGTGGGTTCGAGACCTGCCTGGGCAACTAGGCAAGACCTCATCTCTACAATAAATCAAAAAATCAGCCGGGCGTGGTATCGCATGCCTGTAATTCCGGCTACTTGGAAGGATCGCTGGAGCCCAGCAGGTCGAGGCTGTGGTGGCCGGGAGCGGCCACTGCACTCCGGTCTGGGCGACAGAGTGAGACTCCAACTCAAAAAAAACCAAACCAAACCAAACAAAAAAAAAAAACCATATTAAGAACCAAGTCAGGTGAGCAACTGTTCCAACTTGCTTATGACTGAAGGGTTTCCTAGTCCTAGGACTTTCAGTGCTAAAACCGGATAAGTCCTGCGAAAATGATAGAATCAATATTTTTGAACATAAGAGAAGAGATATGCATATAAAAGCAGATAATTAAATAAAATTATTTGATGTCAAATTCGAATTGGAGATATCAGTATGAACACACAAATTATTTTTCTTTTCAACAAAAGGCCTAATACAGGAGTCAGCAAACGTTTTTTTAGGCTTTGCAGACCATGATCTCTGTTGAAGCCATTCAACTCCACCATTGTAGTGTAAAAGCAGCTATAAGGGCTGTAGTTTGCCAACCCCTAGCCTAAAACAATGAAAACTCAGTAGCAATGAGTAAACTTAGGAATGGGGCTATTGTCTCTAAATACCATTTCCCCTGTAAAAAGGCGCCAGAGCTTTGCAGAGGTATGGCTGAATTCATTCCTGGGACACATAGTAGTTTCAGGATGCAAGGACAATAGCAAAACCAACTGAGTCGTACCAAAGGACATAAGAGCCAATATGGAAAAATCTAAGTATCAAAAAATTAATGATTATAGTTGATCTAAATACATTGAAAATATGTTGTCCAGTAAAGAATTAACCTTGCCCAAAGATAGCTTAAGCCCTGGCCCCAGCTCCTTGGAACGTTCTGCCTTGTAAGACTATCTTTGCTTACCTGGGAGCCTTGGACCATGCCATGTAGCCTATGCTAATAATATGATTTATTATGGGAGCTTGGGACCATGTGGTATCAGCTCAGTCTCTGGAGGGGCCAAAGTGGGTAACCAAGTGGATGATCAGCTGTTTACATAAAAATCTCTGCAATAAAATCTCTGCATACAAAGTTTCAGGTGATCTTCCCTGGTTGGCAATACTCCACGAGAATTGCCACACATCGCTGCTGGGAGAAATAAGTATTGTTTGCACAACTTAACTGGAAGGGAAAAATTGGAAAATGTTGTGCCTGCTTTCTTGTGGACTCTTTCCCATGTGCCTTTTCCTGTTACTGATTTTATTTTACTGTATTCTAAATTTTTCTTTCTTTTAATTTTAGTACTTTTGGGAGATACAAATAGTTTTTAGTCTGGGCTTTAAGAGTATCTATCACCCCCACTGTTGCTGATTTTAATCTGCATCCTTTTGTTATAATAAATTATAACCAAGAGTATAACAGATTTACCGAGTTCTGTAAATCATTCTCACTAATTATTGAGCCTGAGGATAGTCTTGGACTCCTGAACTGTATATATAAAACCTAAATGTTTCTCATTGCACTCTAGTACACAAAAAGACAGAAAGTCCTCTACCCAAATGAAAGCAACCCAGTTGTCTCTATAGTCAATAAATAAAACACTAACCCTTATTCTGAAAATAGACGATTAAGAAAGAATTAAAAATTTAATTTACCTTACTGGTGTGAACTGTATTTTATGGTAACCATATAACCTTAGCTGATTAAATAA